GACCTGCAGGCACAGAGCGCAGCGCAACGCGGCCCTCAGCGCGACGCCGCGCTCCGCCACAAGCCTCGGGCTTACAGCGGGCACCGTGCACCTCCTCTCGCGCCATGCATCGCCCTGAGCTCTTTGCTCTCTTGTAACTACATCTAAACGTCACTTCAGAAGAGAATTAAACCAGGACGTTTCCAGAATCAAAGAAAACATTGTCTCCCCCATACCTATTTTCTGACCTGAATTCTTCCTCTCAAAAAAGCAAAATCAGAGCGCCTTAATTTAATGCTCTTAATTCAATAAACCACTTATTTCCACAGAAGGGCAGAAGCAGCTAAGGAGGTTGCTGGAGTGTTCAGCAAATTGTCTGGGGCTTAGGTTAGTGGTTAGGTTAGAGGAAGGTGTTACTAACAGATCATGATTGTATTTAGTCTACAGCCCCATCAGGCTGCATTTACAGTGAATTGATTTTTTTTTTTCCTTTCAATTCTGCAGGGCCAAGAAGTACCACAGAAACAGGCAAGAAACCACAAAATATTCCATCCAGTACGTGAGGAGATAGTTCTGAACCAAGCTGGTTTGTTTCTTGTTCTGACTACACTGGCTGGAAGAGCTAAGGATGCAGCCCCTCACACTCCTCCTTTCCTTTGAATATAGCTCCCGCACTGCCCACCTCCCCGTGCGTCTTTGCTCAGGACCTGCCTTTGAGAACCCCTCCGAGGACGGAACCCAGCTTGTTGGCTGGGACCTTTGCCTGTTTCTGCTGTCAGCAGTTTGGCACTGCAGGCCTCCCAGCCATGCCCCAGGACCTTCCCAACCCAGCTCTCCTACACGGAGGTGCCAGATGGTTCCTCAGCTGGGCACAGACAAACTGTTGCTGTACACAAACCCACCTGTACGTGAGCTGCTGACGCACGGAGGAGCCGGCTGCTGGCTCCGTGTCGCTGCCCCTGGACTGCTCTCCATGCTGCTTGTCTTCCTTGTGTGCGGCCCGGTCCCTCTCGCTCCCTGCCAGCACAGCGCCCTGGTACTCTATCCAGAATGAAACACCTTGTGTGAGTAACAAGATCCTTCACGCTGTGCCCTCCTGCGCAGGGTTTCCGTGAGCTCGGGAGAGCTGGCGGGATGGGAGCCAAGGAGCCCTTCAGCCATCTGTTTGCTGGCTGACTAGTGCCGCAGCCGGTGCCAGCGGCTGTGAGAGCCTCCAAGCTGCCGCGAGCCCTTCCAGACCCTTCACTCTCCTCTCCCCAGGACAGGCTGCAGCACCCCCGAGGACCCATGGGCCACTGCTGTGACAAAACAAATCTCAGAGATCAGGGGCCACAGGGTGGCTGCTGGCCCATCATTTAAGATTAGCTTCTTTTTTTTTTTTTAAGGCATGTTTTTTCAAAATGGGGAGCAGTCTGTTACCCAGAAGGACCTGTCTGGGCAAAATGCAAAACACAGTATGGAGGGCTCTGGCAGGCCAGTCTGTTGCATTACAGTGTGAGAGGCAGAACCCCGAAAACCACAGAAACCCCTTTGCTGGAGCCTCTTGTTCCAGACCAGGAGGCAAATGAGGGCGCCCAGCAAGACGATGTGATCGCTGTGCTGGACAGTTCAGTTCCGTGGAAGATTACTCACCTGAGATCTGCAACTGAACCTGCCGTCTCTCAGCTCCGTCCGTCCTCCCGCTGGAAACGAGGCACGTGTAAGTCCCCGCGTCCTCCGAGCTGACGTGGCTGATGACCAAGGAGCTGTCAGACTGGTAGCTGTGCCTGCAACAGGGACAACCATGAGCCCCCTGCCCAGCCGAGGGCTGCTGGCCCTTCGTGCTGACGTTACAACCAGCAACATGTAGTGCCTTCTGCTTGGGAAAACAACCCCCATGAACCACTGAGGACTCAGGGGCAGGGGAAATAACTGGGGCAGAAGGAAAGGTCAGGAGCAGAGAGGAGACTGAGATGGGAAAATGGGAAGCTACTTTCAGCAATCTTCTGCCATGAAGGCTGTGCAGGACCGGACAGAAAGCTCATGTACAGTGGGCTTGTTTATTCATTTTTTTTTTTAAGAGATTATGAAAAAAGCAGGCCAGCATATTTGGCAGCCTGCCCAGGAAGGATTGTGAACGCTGCTCTGCAAGGAGGAGGGCCGAGCTAACCTGTCGGAGGAGAACGGCCGCCCGTCCTTCATCCACTCCACGTGGGAGAAGGGGAATGTGCCCATCTTGCAGAACAGCTGGATGTTTTGTCCCACGGCTACTGTCACAAGGGTGGGTCTGCCCTCCTCCAGGATGGCTCTGAAAGGAAAAGCAATTTCATCACTTGTACCTCTGCTGCCCTCCTCTCCTCTGGGTCCCCTAATGTGACTCTGGAGGACGGTCACAACCCACAGTGCAAAGCAGGACTTGCTGCTCTTCCAATTCAGAGTTGATGCCCTGGATAACATGTGGCAGCCCTCTCCTATGCAGCAAAGACTGATCTGGACACATTAAGTGCTGCAGAATGCCAGGGGAGAGGCAGGGCCTTCTCCAGCCAGCTCCTCTCCTCTGAAGGAACAGAGTTCAGCTCCTGGGACCACAAGTGGTCTCTGCATGCAGACCCAGCTCCACACACTCCCAATTTTCAGAGTGACACTGTCCATGACTCAGACCCCACATCTGAAAGTCTTCCCTAGAACAAACTACTGCTGCTCTACGCAGCACTGAGTAAAGGCTTCAAAGGCAGGGAGCTAGCTGAATGAATTGGTCCGAACAAGCAAAACGACCTGGATTTACATTTAGAGCAAAATCAGGCTACCCAAATAAGGGCCCCAGGATCCTGCAGTCCTTTCACAGACAACTTCCAGTGTTGTTGGAAAGCAGGAGGAGGGTAAAAAGAGAGACCAGAAATCTTCAGGGCCTGAATAACCTGATGTTACACGTGTTCCAAAGGGACACAGGTGGAGCCAACCTGCTGCATGGTATTCCCAGCCAGCTAGTCCTGGCTGGGGCAGTGCTGCCACTCCAGGAGAAGCTGCCCTGGGGCTTGCAATTAGCTGACAGAGCAGAAATCACCTGTGCAGAGTTCGCGCTGGGAAGGAGCCTGCAGGTCCCTGCTGCCCCAGGCCCTCCTGCAAGGAGGCGGC